TTTTTTATCACCTCTTGCTGTAATGACGTTCCCTACTCGTGAGTCGTGACTAGGCTAAGCGATACAACAAAGCATTGACGTAAGCAATGATGTTTAGTTTTATTTATGTAGAAGGGTGGACAATTTTACCCGATACCCAAATTCGTATCAAAAACGGATCCAAAATATCCAAACGGAATCCGAATAAAAGTAACAAAATATCCGAATGGGTATTGAGTTAGGAGAAATTGGATATCCAAACTCGAACATATAATATCCGAGTCTGAATGGATATCTCAAGATAACCGCACATATGCATATCTATATATATATATATATACATATTTTTATTTCTAGTTTATTTATCTCATTTTATTCAAAAAAAAAATATATAAATATATATATATATATATATATATATATTAATGTTGTATATCTCTATAATACTATTTGATAAGTCACTTTCCTAGGTATCGCACTCAAGCTAAGTCTCACACTGGTTGATTTAAAAAAATATTTAAATATTATTATTATTTTTTGAAAAAAATTCAAATAATAATATAAAATAAATAAGAAACATTTATTAAGTTTACTAAACTATTTAAAAACGAAAATATATGTATATAATTTTATAAAAAAAAAGTAAAGTTCACAAAATAGTAATATTTCATTTAAAAGATATTTTTGAATGACATAAATATACTTTTGAGGTAATAAATACTTTTCTTAAATCTATATCTTCTTAAATAAAAAAAATCTCTATAATAGTATTTGAGATTTGAGAAGTCACATTTCTAATTGTCGCAGTCACGCTGGTTGGTTACTGTGATACCCCTAATGAATTAAAAAAATTATTTAAATATTAGTATTATTTTTTTTAAAAAAATTTCCAAATAAAAATATAAAATAAAAAAGAAACATTTATTAAGTTTACAAAACTATTTAAAAAAGAAAATCTCCTTTTCAATCAACAAGTCCCGAACAAGTTTCCTTCATCCAAAGACACACTCATGAAATTACCAACAGCTACTGTGACGAAGACATAAGGACTAACGTTCTTTGAGTTTTTCTCTCTCTCTCTCAAAATACAAACCCTTCTTCTTGAGATTCAGTTGTGTGCTCTATATGCGTTGACTTTTTTCAGTTTCTCCAAAACCTTCTGTATTCGAATCGTGTTTCTTTTAAGTCAAACCGATCTTTTTGATTTTAATATGGATTCTCCTTCTTCTTCCCCACCTCTTCGTAATTGGGCATACGATGTTTTCCCGAGCTTCAGCGGGGAAGACGTTCGCATAACTTTCCTAAGCCACTTTCTAAAGGAGCTTGACCGGAAGTTGATCGTAGCTTTCAAAGACAGTGAGATCGAGAGAAGCCATTCTCTCGGTCCAGAGCTTAAACAAGCAATCAGGAGTTCAAGGATCGCTGTGGTTATCTTTTCTGAGAAGTATTCATCTTCCAGCTGGTGCCTGGATGAGTTGCTTGAGATCGTAAAATGCAAAGACGAATCAGGTCAAATAATCATTCCAATTTTCTACGGTTTAGAGCCGTCTCATGTTAGGAAACAAACTGGAAAATTCGGAGAGTCTTTTGACAAGACTTGTCAGACAAAAACTGAGGATGAAACAAAGTTGTGGCGGCGATCATTGATCGATGTAGCAAATATCCTCGGATACCATTCTCAGAACTGGTAACACATACAATTTATATGTTTGTTTTCTATTCCAATGCTCAAGAAATTGCTAGGCAATAACTAGATATTTTGTAGAAGACTAGTACATGTCTATATTATTAAAATTGAAATACAAATGAGATTGCTCCAAAAAATGAAGTACATCCATAAATTTCATTTATATTATGTATATTTCATACTACCAATGTTTAAATATTACTGTAAATTATTATTTATGTGAATAAAAAAAATTTTATAAAAAGAAATTATTTATATATTGCCAAAAATTTGTGAAATTAAATTTTACATGTTATTACCAAATGTCTTGATATATAGATTAATGATACCAAAAATATTTAAAAATTGATTTTTACTAATATAATTTCTAATAACCAGTATAAAAAACATTAAACAATATTTTATAAGCAAAATACAATAAAAAGCTTGATTTCAGACACGAGATTAAATTATGGTTTTATATTACATAATAACTAATTAAAATATAATAATATGTGATTAATTAGATGATGATACATACAAAAATATGATTAACTATATACTGGCACATATAAACTATGATTAATTATATGAAGACAAGTATATAAATATAATAGTGACATGAAAAATAAATAGCATTAAAAATGCATTTGTGTGGGTTCGCGGGTCAAGTTCTTGTGCATGTTATTTGGAGATTAAGCGGGATCTAAGCTTTAACGAATTATTCATCTATTTGTTATATATATTTTATTTATATTAGATATTTTTTTTAAGTAAAAGTTGTGTTTAACTTTGCTAATATATATAAAGGTATACTAAAATAGCAATCAAGAAAACTTGTGAACTTTTTTTTTTTAACTCTGGATTGTAATATTAAGCCATTTAGGCAAAAAGTTCTTAATAATGAAAACTAGCAAAACAAACATAGAAAACGGATACACCAGTAGCGATCCAAAGTAAACTAACACATCTTTGCATATGGACAACTAAAGATTTTCATGTAAAAACTCCAAGTTTGCTTTTAGAATAGTTCAATCCCACAAAATTTGCTTGTGAACTTACGCTAAAATAAATTGGGAGAAAAAAAAAGAGCACCACTTTATTTAGGCATGGGCATTCGGGGTCCCATTCGGATTTTGGTTTTGTCCAATCGGGTCTCGATTCTTCGGGTTTATCAAAATTAGCCCCATTCGGATTATTTACAAGTTTGGTTCGGGATCAGTTCGGGTTTTCTCGGGTTCGGGTCGGGGTTAGATTATCTTTAAAGAACCGGTACAACCCGTTATACTTTCGGATTCGGGTCCCAGTCGGTTCTTTGGTTTAAAAATACTTAATTTGAACATACTTTTTAACCAAAACATAAGTAAAAATTTTGAATGTTTCGGATTCTTTCTGATATCCATTTAATTTCGGGTTCGGTTCGGATAATACCCATAACCCGAAATACTATAAAACAAGATCCATTCGGTATTTAAATCGGGTTCAGATCGGTCCGAATTCATTTTTATCGGATCGGATTTGGTTCGGGTTTTCGGGCTCTGTTTATTTGTGCAGCCCTAACTTTATTGTAGACAAATTAAAATTAGGTGTTTTCATGCACCATGTGCAGAAAATACAATTTTACAATTAAATTATTTTTAAAAAATAAAAATTTGTTAATCTATTTTATTGGATAGATTGATTTAAACTGACTTACACCCATGTAGAGATTTAAACTGATTTTTGAACTATTAATACTGATTTGAGCCGTTTAAATCAGATTTAAAAATCCTTTAGGTTAGGACCAATTTGCCACCGAGATGAGCATATAAGCGCCTCCAAGACTGATTTTTAGAACATTGATCTCTTCTTATAGACTTTGACATGTGACAACTGATAAATTGTTTATTTCGTGTTTAAATGATCTTTTCCTCTTTTTAGGCCCCATGAAGCAAAAATGATCGAAGCAATTGCTAATGATATCTTGGGTAAACTGAATTTATCTCCATCAAAGGACTTTGAGGAGTTTGTTGGAATGGAAGATCATATTGCAAATATGAGTGTTTTATTGCATTTAGAATCTGAGGAAGTGAGGATGGTTGGGATATGGGGCTCCTCAGGAATTGGTAAGACTACCATTGCAAGAGTTTTACACAGTCAACTCTCTCGCCAGTTCCAAGGTAGTGTTTTCATAGACAGAGCTTTCGTATATAAGACTATGGAAATTTATAGTAATGCCAACCCGGACGATTATAACATGAAGTTACATTTGTTACGAAGTTTCTTGTCTGAACTCTTAGACAAAAAAGACATAAGGATAGATAGTTTAAGTGCAGTCAAAGAGAGGCTAAAATACCAGAAAGTTCTTATATTTATCGATGATTTGGATGATCAACTGGTGCTGGATACCTTGGCTGGTGAAACTCATTGGTTTGGATCAGGGAGCAGAATCATTGTGATTACAAAAGATAGGCATTTCTTAAGGGCTCATGGGATTGATCATATATATGAGGTATGCCTCCCATCTACAGACCTTGCGCTTGAGATGTTTTGTAGATCTGCTTTCAGGGAAAATTCTCCACCTGCTGATTTGATGGAGCTTGCTACCGAAATTGCATTGTGTGCCGGAAACCTTCCTTTGGGTCTTAAGGTTTTGGGTGCGTACTTACGAGGTAGGGACAAAGAGGATTGGATGGATATGATACCTAGCCTTCGTAATAGGTTGAATGGAAAAATGGAGAGAACACTAATAGTCGGCTATGAAGGGTTAAACAACAGAAAAGATAAAGCCATATTTCGTCACATTTCATGTCTTTTCAGTGGTGAACAAGTTGATCACATCAAGATGCTACTAGCAGATAGTGACTTGGATTTTAATATTGGGTTTAAAAACCTTGTTGATAAGTCTCTTGTACATGTAAGACGGAATAATGTTGAGATGCACTGTTTGCTACAAGATTTGGGTAAAGAGATTGTCCGTGCACAATCTGATGAGCCTGGAGAACGAGAATTCCTTATGGATTCAAAAGAAATTTGCGATGTACTTGAAGATAACAGTGTAAGTTATTTTTTCATACTTAATTCATTTCATTTATATAGCACTCTATAAGATTAAAATCGTATAATATTTGAAATGATATTTGTATTGTCATCTCAGGGTACTAAGAAGGTTTTAGGGATATCATTGAATATGGATGAGAATGATGAACTTCATATACATAACAATGCTTTCAAAGGGATGCGAAATCTCTTTTTTCTGGAGGTTTGTAACGTTAAGAAATGGAACAAGAAGATGAGATGGTTTTTACCGAAAGGCTTTGACTATCTGCCCCCTAAACTTAGATTCTTGAGATTGGACGGATATCCAATGAAACATATGCCTACGAATTTTCGTCCTGAAAACCTTGTTAAGCTTCAAATGCAGAATAGCAAACTCCAAAAGTTGTGGGAAGGAGTTCATGTAAGTCTTTAATAAAATTACTATTGATCAGTTGTAGGTGCTTAAGAGTGTACTTTTATAGATGTTTTCAGTGACGTGTGGACTTCAGTCACTTGCAGGGCTCATGGTAATGGTAATGTTTTCAGTGATGTTTTCTATGGCCACTAATCTCCAGGAACTTGATCTTTCTTATTGCTCGAGTTTGGTGGAGCTTACTTCCTCTATTCAGCATCTCAATAAACTGAAGTGGCTGTACATGTCATACTGTAAAAGTTTGAAGATTCTTCCCGCAGGAATGTACCTCCAGTCCCTTGATCACCTTAATCTCCGTAGATGCTCTCGGCTGAAGATTCTTCCTGATATTTCGACAAACATCTCAACCCTTATTCTAGACGAAACAGCGATTGACGACTTCAGTTTTATCTTTCGTCTTAAGAAACCAATTAATCTTGGTTTCTGCAAAACGAAGATTGAGAAATTGTGGGCAATAGAGCAGGTATGTACTCTATCTTAGCTTTTTTTTTCTCTAAAAATGTGACTAACATTTTCATAAGAAATGGCCTGCCCTATAGATTGAATGTCTTGTGGGGAAAATCAAATTAAATGAATCACATTTTTTAACTAATTATTAACATGTGAAACCCTAGGATCACGGTATTCAATTTAGTAGGAAAGAGTAACTTCGTAAAAAGATAACTAGAACTTGAACTGCTCCCTCCGTTAAATGTTTGATTTAATTTATGTTCAATGTAAACTTATAAACTGCTAGTTTTATAAAAAACAGTATTTTTTATGTAATTAACTCATATAGTAGAATATATCATTTTATAATATAAATCTTTAATAATAATTTTTTTATTTATACATAATATTATATTAGAAAATTTATAACTTGATGCAATTTGATATATTAACATGTTGTTTTTTGGTTAATTTATTTTAAAATGCAACAATATACTAAAAGTTAAGTTTTTTATATTAGTTTTCTATGAATTATCATTAATTTAATGATATTTTATTTTTTTGAACGTTGAACTCTCGAAATTTTATATTTGACTAGATTAAATAAAATAATATTATATTTAAAGATTATTTTATATAATATATACTATATATATTTCAGTTTGTGTTTTCATTTTCACCACAAAGAAAAAAACTCTTGTAATTAATTATTTTAAATTAATTTTAAATACAATGACAAAATATGTAAATAAAAAAATACAAAATAAATAATTAATTTATTATAAATGCAATATATAAATATACAAATAAATGAAGTATTTAATCTGCTATTCATGTTTCCAAATAGTTCTCATTTATCATAATATTCTTATTTTTAAATAGTATTCAATCGGTACTTCAGTTTTAATAATATAGATAATGTAATATGATTTTTGAATATCATTTTAAACTTCTAGCTTTTTTTTTTATTTAAGTAATTATTTATATTTATAAATCAAGGGCATAAATGTTTTTCTATCTCTCTAACAGAACCTCATGTTTAGATATTTTTGAAAATATTCATTTAAAGAATGTAAAGATGAATAAATGTAAAATTCTCACATATTTTTTAAATTGTTATATATTTTCTTATTAGGTTGAGATCCGCGTTTTATGCGGAATGAATATAGTATATACAAATTATTTGTATGTATTAATATATATTTTGAGTTTTTTTACATATTATGAAAAGATAAAATCATAATTATATATGAAATAATTTAGAAGCTAATAACTATGTATATAATTAATTCTGTATGAAAAAAATAAATCAAATAATCACTTTGTTTATATAGAATCATTTTGTGTTAAATAATTCCAAAAAATCCCTTTATTTGTATGACATAATTAATTTCAAATGATCTATGATTTTATGATCATTGGTATTTTTATAGTAAAATTTAAATCATTAATAAAAAAATTTCAATATTGAACCTTTTTAATAGTTTTAGTAATTTAAAATTGTATAAAAATGGAATGCAAATTTAAAAATTAAAATATTAAGTTCTAAATGCTTCTTCAATGCACATTCAGAAATTAAAATAATTATATATTTTTATATGGTACATAGTTTAATTTAAATAATATATATATATATATATATATATTAATCTAAATATATGTATTAAATATCACTTCTAATTCATATTGTGTTATGATCATTTGTATCTTGGTATAAGGAAACTATTTAATTGTTATAAACCTTAAACTCTAACTCTACATACATCTCCTAAATTTTAGTCACTAAATCCAAACTCAAATATTATATATATATATATATTTATTATATAATCTTTTTTAATTTAGTCAAAAAATTTGTAATAATATTTAATTAATAACTTAGTTACAAGTAAGAGTATAATAGTTATTTCACCTTCAATGAATGTGGTTTTAAAGTTTTCCTGTATGTGCTATTTTAGTGTTATTAGAGGATATTTTATTTTTTTGGATATTATCTCAAAAACAATCTCTAAATTGTTTTTTTCTGTTCAGCCACTTACATCAATCATGACCATGCTGTCTCCAACTTTAAAGAGATTGTATCTCTCAAATATCCCAAGTCTGGTGGAACTTCCTTCCTCTATCCAGAATTTTCACAATCTTGATATTCTGAATATTACAGAATGCATAAATCTGAAGACTCTTCCCACTGGCATCAATCTTCAATATCTCCGTGACCTTGACTTCACGGGATGCTCACGTTTGAGGACTTTTCCTGATATGTCAAGCAGCATAATCCAGCTGTATGTAGCCCAAACAGGAATTGTAGAGGTTCCTTTTTGGATCAATAAGTTCTCTAAGCTCAAATACCTAAATATGAAGAGCTGCAGCAACTTAGAGCGTGTATCCCTTAACATTTATAAACTGAATGAACTTTCCGTTGACTTTTCAGACTGTGGAGCATTGACCGAAGCTAGCTGGACTGATTGTCCAGATAATCTTTTCTCAGAAGTCAGTACTCATTTCATCTGCCTAAACTTGGATCCAGAAGCTCTCCTTCACCAACGTCCATTTGTTTTTGAGCAATTGATCATGTCAGGTGAACAAGTGCCGTCATATTTCACTCACCGTACAACTGGAACCTCCTCCTCCTTAACCATCCCTCTACCTTCCACTTCTCTCTCGCAACCATTTTTCCGTCATATTTCGTAGTAACGTAGTATATATCCGTGTCGACTGTCGGTTCAAAGGCATATTTGAGTGTCGTATCCCTCTAAACAAAGACATTTCTCCTATATCTCAACTAAACTACGATCACGTGGATGTACAACTTCATTTAAGTAACAGAATGGACTCTGCATTCAGATCTAAAATATTGGATCCTCAGGTATTGCATCATCTGAGTGATATCAGTGTCTCCAAGTTCAACTTAAAAGGATGGGGTATACGACTCGCTGAATACTGCTTATCACCAAAGAACGAACTTGGTAATCCAAATACTCTTGCACGAGTTTGTGAAGACAATATAGTTAAACAAGAGTGTCGAGACAGTTGTGAAGAGACAAAGAAAGACAATAAGCGAATGCGGGTAAGCCTCAAGCTTGACCTGAACACAATACTCTTTTATCAATAGATAAAAGGATTTGTTTCTTTTACTTTCTTTTGCAGATTACGTGAAGGGCCACCCAAGAAAGCTCTGCCTCCAAACCTGAGAGGAACACATGAAGCCAGTTTGTGATACTTTGATATTCTTCACTATACATTGATCATGCATATTTTTCATGCGTTGAATACCACCGCATGAGAACAGTAATCGTATTTTGATTCTCTTTTTTTAGGAAAAGACATGATAAAGTAAAACAATTCTAGTCTATCAATATTTCAAAATCTTTGTGTATGTGCTTCCGGATTTACATAAAGATTGAGTAAACAAGAAAGTATCTACGAGAAACGAACATCTAACTTCTCAAGTAGCCTAGTATCTCTCACGTGCAGCTGCTTCAGTTCTAGCTTTCTCTGCAATTTTATTGAGTTCTTCTCAGGTGGCATTGCAGGTAATGGCAATTTCAACCCTGTGCTTATATACCTAAAAATAAACAATAGTGAGTGTAATGTTACAGAAGTGAGTGAGACAGAAATAGAATCGAGCAGTGTTTAAATGAAACGGAAAAGGGATTCCTGACCGTTGGAATGTGGATCAGACAATCATGTTTCTGCAACAGCATTGAAATTCGAATTCCTCTTTTGTCAGTGACAAGAACAAGAAAAAACTCAAATTCATCAAAGAGAAAAAACATCAAGCAAATTTATACCTTATCTTAACTATCGTTTGAGTTGGGGGAAGAATCCTTCTTCTATGCAGAATTTCAATAATCTAACAAAGGTGGAAAGTGAAAACTCTTCCAACCCCCATTAACCACGAAACTAACAAAGGTGGAAACTCTTCCTCTTTACTTTCTCTTCATTATTATGCCACAAAGGCTTACATTGAATTGGGCCAATCCCATTTCTTTTCACGTTTAATTTACCAAGCCCATGGCTTTGTTAATTATCCAACACGTAGTACCTTTGCTTGTGGTTTTCACAGTTCAACAGACTCCGAGACCCTGGGAGGACTGTTTGTGAGTGGAAAACCGACTTGGTAGTACAACAAATTTGTGAAGCCGATGAAGACAATGTGGATGGTGAGGAGTGTGGAGACAGACGTAGAGAAGAAGGGAGTACGGTAAGCATTACCTAGACATAATACCTTTCCAGCATCTGTTAGATTATAAATCACTCAGTTTTATTATTTTTTGTTTTTCTGCAGACTATCTGAAGAAACTTTTATTGTGAATTTTCATGAACCGAGTCGTCTAGCTGGTACTAATGGAGGACATGCAGAGATTCTTCACTTCCTCCCCGGTTGAAAAGACGTTATGGGATGAAAATAGAATGTCATAAACCATCCAAGTAAGAACCTAAAGATTCTGCCACTGACCAAAGACTTGGTTCACTGGTGACTTCATACGCTGCCCTTGGGTTTCTATTTTTTGATCAAGTTATGTCTTAGTCTATGATCATTGATCTACGGTTTGGTTAGATTAAGCATTTATCAAGTGTTTTCTGCTCTGTTTATTTATAGTTTGCTGTAATCTTATGTGCAATATTATGTTATCCCCCCTCTCCTTTCGACTTCATTTGTTGAAAGTTTTGTTTGTGTGTTTTGTTCTTACAAGAGACTTGAAAATATTAACCTGTTTCTATGTTCTGAATCTGGTATTAAAATGTAACTGATTTGGTAGTAAGTAGTGAGTCTGTTTCTGATTGTGTCTCTTTCATTGAGGCTCTTCTGGGGTTTTTAGTAATGAGTCCCTTAAGTATCCACAGAAAATTTAGTTATACGTTTGTTTTGTACTTGGAAAGTTAAATTCACTACTTCAGTCAACCCAATTAAATCAGGTAATGGATTATTACTACTAAAAGGTCCTGTCATTGTGTTGAAAGGCCTGAGCAAAGTCTATTGTCGGCTGACTTGACTCAACAGTAATGTAGGCATGTTGTTGACGTGGAGCAGGTACAACATTCGTATGAAGCTGTGACATATGTACTTGAGCTGGAGGCTAGTTTTGATTGTTGTGGCGTTGATTGTTGTTGTAGCATCCTATGTACTTGTTTGTTCGAACACTCTGGTTCCTGTCGATTCTGTGTTTTCTTTGTCTCTGCAAACGTTGAGAACAAGTGTTAATGATGAGTGTTGTCCTTACGTGTGGCTGATGATTTACTGAATTTAAGGACTCGCTTCGAAGGAAGGGAATTGTTCACTGTACTTGATGACAGTAATGATGTTGTCAACACTGGGAGAAGATCCGACAGAGATTTAAGCTTATTAGAGTAAGTTTGGATTTCCAAGATCATTATCAAACTGAATGGCTCTGGCTTCCTTGTTATTGCGGATCCAGATCTCAGGAGCAGTTCCGCCTGGTATGAATGATCCAGAAGTGTGGTATTTACAGTTTGGTAAAGTACATGATGCTTTGGAGTTGTTTAAGCAAATGCCTCGGAAGAATGTGATTTCTTGGATGATGAGAGGACTGGAGAAGCTCTTGTTTTGTTCAAGATAATGTTGGTTGGTTTTACGCAGTGCTTGTAGGATGCATTCTCATGTGGACTCAAAATCAAATCTGCAGGCGACACACTGCTTCCCGTGAACTCAACCCCTCGGGAACCGACCTTCTAATCCAAACATTCTTCCACAAGTTGGTGGGAGGATACAAAAGCAACAATGCTTACTTGGGAGACCATGAGACCGAGCACAGCCAAGAGTGTGGAGATAGCGCTGTAGAGAGAAGTCCAGATACTCTTTCACATGTTTGTGAAGCTGATAAAGAAAATGTTGTTAATGATGGATGCCATGAGACTGAGCAAAGTGACCACTTGTAGGCAACGTTATAGAGGCATTGAGAAACAGGGTAAGGATTAAGCATGAACTGAACAGAATACTCTTTTTACGCCTCACTCTGTTTTAGGATCTTTCATAATTTAGATTACTGGAACATTTTTTTGCTGCAGATTACGTGATAACATTGAAGAAGTAATGTAGTGACTTGGTGATATATGGCGTTAACTAAGTCAACAAATAGGACAACTAGCATAGCATGTAGAAAAACATGAGAAACAACGAGGAAGCTGCTAGCCAGACAACGTGAGGCTGTAATACTTTCTCCTCTGATATTTATCTTTCTATGTAGAATATGATCACTAAGCTCCTTCTGACAATTGTTTCTTTTTCTTTTATCTTTCTATTCAGGATACAAAATCACTAAGCTGCGTTTAACTTTCCTACTCTCTCTATGGCTTCTTCATCCTCCTCTTCTCGCAATTGGCGATACCACGTCTTCCCGAGCTTCAGCGGAGAGGATATCCGTAAAAACTTCCTCAGCCACTTTCTCAAGGAGCTGGAAAGGAAAACGATCTTTGCTTTTAAAGACAACGAGATGGAGAGAAGCCAGTCCATCTGGCCCGAGCTTGTGCAGGCGATTAGAGAATCGAGGATCGCCGTGGTTTTTCTATCTAAAAACTACGCATCTTCAAGCTGGTGTCTGAATGAACTGTTGGAGATCATGAGGTGCAAGGAAGAGTTGGGCCAAATAGTGATTCCCGTCTTCTACGGTTTGGATCTTTCCCAGGTGAGGAAACAGAACGGAGACTTTGGGAAGATCTTTAAGAAGACTTGCCAGAAGAGAACTAAAGAAGTGAAAAATCAATGGCAGAAAGCGTTGACCGATGTAGCTAACATCCTCGGATTTCATTCTCTGAACTGGTAATAATTAAATCAATTTATTAATCGTTTCTTGTATTTATTATATATATATATACTACTTGGCATGACTTGTTTCATGTTTGTGTTTTGGTCTTTCTTCTTGTTAGGGCTGGTGAAGCCTATATGATTGAAGAAATCACCAATGATGTTTTGAGTAAACTGAATTTAACCTCATCAGAAGATTTTAGGGACTTTGTGGGCCTCGAAGATCATATAGAAAAGATGAGTCTACTGTTGGATTTGGAATCGAGGAAGTGAGGATGGTTGGGATATGGGGTCCCCCTGGAATTGGAAAGACTACCATTGCAAGAGCTCTATATAGTACACTCTCACGCCATTTCCAAGGTAGAATTTTCATAGACAGAAGTTTTCTATCTGAGAGTAAAGAAATTTATAGTAAAGCCAACCCTGACGACTACGGGATGAAGTTGCACTTGCAAAAACAATTTCTCTCTAAACTTTTAGGCAAAGAGGGCATAGAGGTAGATCACTTAGGTGCGGTGAGAGAGAGGCTAAAGCACCGAAAAGTTCTTATCTTTATTGATGACTTGGATGATAAAGTGGTGCTAGACGCTTTGGTGGGTCAAAATCAGTGGTTTGGAAGTGGGAGTAGAATCATTGTGGTTACAACGGATAACCGTTTATTAAAATCCCATGGGATTGATTGCATTTACGAGGTTGGTCTCCCATCTGAAAAGCTTGCTCTTGAGATTTTTTGTCTTTATGCCTTCGGGAAAAACGCTCCAGATGAAGGTTTTGAGAAGCTCGCAGTTGAAGTTGTACAACTTGCGGGTAATCTTCCCTTGGGTCTTAGAGTTTTGGGTTCATATCTGCGGGGCTCGAGCAAAGAGGAATGGATAAATAGTCTGCCGACATTAAAGGGTAGTTTAGATGGGAATATTGAAGCAGTATTAAGATTAAGTTATCAAGGCTTATCTGACGAAGATCAAGCCTTATTTCGCCACATTGCATGTCTCTTCAATTTGGAGAAAGTTGACGACATCAAGCTGCTGCTCGCAGATAGCGGCTTCAAGAGTTTTGAAATTGCGCTTGGAAACCTAGTTGCGAGATCTCTTGTACATGTAAGATTGAATATTGTGGAAATGCACACTTTGCTACAACAACTGGGTAAGGCGATCGTCCGTGAACAGTCGCGCAATCCGGGAAAACGAGAATTCATTGTGAACTCTGAGGATGTTTGCGATGTACTTGAACACGAGGACACTTTTGTAAGCCTTTTTCATAAATCTCACTTTATAATAAACCATTTCTTGGTAAAAAAATCATTTCTTTTGATAAAAGATACGTAGTAGGAAGTTGTTAAGCTAATGATGGTCTCTTTCTTAAATTTCAGGGTACAAAAAGGGTTCTAGGTATATCATTAAATATAGATGAGATACACCATGAGTTGCACATACATGAGAATGCTTTCAAGAAGATGCGCAATCTCCGTTTCCTAACAATTTTCACGAATAAATATATGCTCGACAAAAAGGTGCACTTACCTGACAGCTTCGACCATTTGCCGCCTAAACTCAAATTGTTATGTTGGGAAGGATACCCAATGAAAATTTTGCCTTCTAATTTTTGCCTTGAAAGACTCGTCAAGCTCAAAATGAAGAATAGCAAGCTCAAAAAGTTGTGGGAAGGATCTTGGGTAAGTGTGCATAGATTAAAATGTTATTCTTTAACCGTTTAGGTGACAAACATGTGTCACTAACTTCTGCTTTGTGCTTTGTTTTTCTTTATTGAGTACAGAACCTTACATGTCTCAAGGAGGTAAATTTGTGGGGATCTGAAAACCTAATAGAAATACCAGATCTTTCCAGGGCCACCAATCTAGAGAAGCTTTATCTTAACTATCGTTTGAGTTGGGGGAAGAATCCTTCCTCTATGCAGAATTTCAATAATCTAACAAAGGTGGAAACTCATCCAACCCCCATTAACCATGAAACAACCAAAGGCCTCCCTGTCGCAGAGTTTTGCATGGATAACGTAAAATTTGAGAAACTATTGGAAGGAATACAGGTATGTCTTTCAGAAAATTCACATTTAGTTAACCTCTTTTTACTAATCATTGGTCGAATTTGTTAAGTATTGTGTAGTGTTTAAGTTTGTTCAGGAGCTAAACTATTTTCCATATATACCATTATGATTATCTATATAAATAGAGCAAATTACTATTGGTTGGGTGACGTGTTTAGTGTGAGGAAATGTTCTTCTATCAAACTTAGAAAAGTGAATATCAAACGGACCAATCTTTGCTAAATAGATAGAGGGAGTAGATTTCTTGGAAGATGAGAATTGTTTGATGTGATTTCTTTTAACGTCTCTGAAATGTTTTTGGTTTAGCCGCTTATGTGCATGGGAACGATGCTGCCTGCGTCTTTGAAGGTGTTGTTTCTCTCAGATATTCCAAATATGGTGGAGCTTCCGTTCTCTATTCAGAATCTCAGTAACCTAACGGACATGAAGATTATAAGATGTATGGATCTGGAGATTCTTCCAACTGGAATTAACCTTGTATCTCTGGAACGTCTCAATCTCAATGGATGCTCGCGTTTGAAGACCTTTCCTGATATCTCAAGAAACATCTCATCCCTTTATCTAGAAGAAACAGCAATTGAAGAGGTCCCTCCGTGGACTGAGAACTTCTCTAAGCTCAAATATCTTCTCATGCAAGGATGCAGTAAGTTAGAGTACGTTTACCTAAACGTTTCTAAACTGAAACATCTCGAGTTGGTCAACTTTTCGCATTGTGGGGCATTGACTGGTGCTGATTTGAACGGTTATCCAAGTGGCATTGCATTGGAAGGAGAGATTATTGGCACAGAGTTCCAAGCCTCCTCTTCTGGTCCAGACAATGATGTCCCAAAAGTAGAGTTCAGTTTCATCAACTGCTTCAAGTTGGACGAAGAAGCTGTTCTTCAACAACTCTCTTACGAGAAACTCATCTTGTCCGGTGAAGAAATGCCGTTATACTTCACTCACCGAACTACGGGAACCTCTATGGCCTTTCCTCTTGTTCAGACCCCTCACTCTCCACCATTCTTCAGGTTTAGGGTTTGCGCTGTGGCTGTTTTCAACTCTAAGCCCACCTCTGGTACCATTGGAGTCTCTACAAAGGTAAAGAGTCAATTCAAAAGCAGACTCGGAAGGTACTATGATTCCCCCTATCAACACGACTACTTCTCGGTATATCAGAATGGAGTTATCTTCTTTTACTAGACTGTGTTGTCCCTCTGAGGAAAGACAATGCTACTCCAGCTGAAATGGAGTACGATTACGTGAATATACAGTTTCATATGAGTAGTAGTAAGTTCAAATTAAAAGAATGGGGTATACGACTCTGGGATGACTGTTCATCAGTGGATAACCGACTTGGTAGTACAACTACCATTCCACAAATTTGTGAAGACGATGAAGACAATGTGGTTAATGCTTTGATTGATGAGACTGAGCATGGTGAGGAGTGTGGAGACAGACGTAGAGAAGAAGGGAATACGGTAAGCATTACCTAGACATAATATAATACCTTTTCAGCATCTGTTAGATTATAAATCACTCAGTTTTATTTTATTTTATTTTTTGTTTTTCTGCAGACTACCTGAAGAAACTTTGATTGTGAATTTTCATGAAACGAGTCGTCTAGCTGGTACTAATGGAGGACATGCAGAGATTCTTCACTTCCTCCCTGGTTGAAACGACGTTATGGGGTGAAAACAAAGTGTCATAAACCATCCAAGTAAGAACCTTAAGATTCTGCCACTGACCATAGAGTTGGCTCACTGGTGACTTTGGTTTGGTTAGATTAAGCATTTATCAAGTGTTTGGTGCTCTGTTTATTTATAGTTTTTTGTAATCTTATGCGAAATAATATGTTTACCCGTCTCCTTTTGATTTCATTTGTTGAAACGTTTAGTTCCTACAAGAGACTTGAAAGTATTAATCTTGATGTTCTTGTGTCTATGTTCTGAATCTGGTGTTAAAACTTAACTAATTTTGTTGGAAGTAGTGATTTTGTTCCTGCTTGTGTCTCTTTTCCTGAGGCTCTTCTGGTTTTTAGTAATGAGTCCCTTTAAGTATATCCACAGTCCACAGACAACTTAGTATACGTCTGCTGTAAACTTGGACGATTAAATTTACTATTTCAGTCCAATCAGTTACTTGAGCAATTAAATCAGGTAATAGATTATTGGTGTAGTCATCACCAACTCACCATCCTTTCTTTAATCAACAAAGATATGATACTATATGGCTTAGTTTTCATGGCTGGTCAAAGTTTTTTATGCATGGTTACTAAAGTAGTGATATTGACTCTAAATTAGTTTCATTTATATCTATTTACATGCATGATAACCTCATTACTTAGTTTCTCTGAGTGAAGATTGATGTATTCTCTGAGTGAAGATTGATGTATTCACTATTTAGTTTCTCATAGGAAGCTGTGACATATACGGATCCCAGAAAGAGTACATCTTATAGTGCCCTATGTACTTTTTTTCCATTGTTAGGGTCCACCAGTGGCGGAGCCACATAGTGAGTGGGTGGGGCGGATGCCCCGGATGATTTTTAACAATTCTATGTAAAATTTTGATAATAATCTTCATGCCCCAGTTGGTTCCTTGAAGAATTTTGATAATGCCCCCCATGACATTCATCTCTAGATCCGCCCCTGGGGTCCACCACGAGTGTATGACAAGTTGTTTGAACGTTGTGGTTGCTGTCGATTCTGTGTGTTCCTTCGTCTCTGCAACGTTGAGGACAAGTACTGTTGATTACGAGTTGTCCTTATGTGTGGCTGATGATTATCTGAATTTTAGGACTCGATTCTCCTCTATCTCCAACATTGATTGTGTTGCATCGAAGGAAGGGAATGGTTCATGGTGCATTATGACGTTAATGATGTTGTCAAAATGTTCGTTGAGACCATTTAGCATGTACATGACTAATGTACAATTAGCAACCGGAGTGTCAACACTGGCGATAAGATTCGACAGGGATTTAAAGCTTATTAGAGTAAGTTTGGATTTCGAACATCATTTTCACGCTAGAAAACTGAATCCAAATTATAAGAGGGAGCGTGTCTCAGAACAAGAACGAGGATCAGATGAAGAAGGAGAAGCGGAAGTTAATTAGTGAATGCTGTGTGGTTTATAAATGTAAGAACAATTGCACCTGGATGATTTATAACATGGTTTCATGTTTTTTGGAACATATGCGGGTGCAAAGCAACAGTGACTAATTTCAAGAGAACTTTGGTGCTGAGAATTGATTTTCCATGTGGATGATTATTAGGCCTTATAGACTGAAGCTACTTAAGATGGTTTTAATTGCTTCGTTGTAGTAGGACTGCGCAGGTTTTGGACCTGTGACCTCTTCCTATTCATACAAAAAAATAGTTCTGGTGTTGAATGTCTCTGTTACAGACATATAAACAAAGACTGAAGATATTTTGGTTTCTTTTTCACTTATATTTTTAGAAACAGTGACTTTCAGCCAGTCGTTGATAATCGTTACTTCCTACACACGTTTCTTCCTTCTCCATTTTTGTAAAGGAAGAGTGTGGAATGGACCCAAAGGATTTTTTTAATCCAAGTCTTCTTCAGTGAAACTTCCAACAACTTTCCCTTCTATTTTTCCGACAAAATTCTAAAATCACACATATGCACGATCGTAGCAACCACTATAAGGACAACTACTTGCGATGACTTCTTTTGAGTCTATCTTCTCAAAATGTAAAAGCTCAAGACAACAATGATAGTTTTTTAATTACCTCTTGGTGTAATGACGTTCCCTACTCGTGAGTCGTGACTAGGCTAAGCGATACAACGAAGCATTGACGTAAGCAATGATGTTTAGTTTTATTTACGTAGAAGGATGGATATTTTACCCGATATCCAAACTCGTATCTAAACCCGACCCAAAATATCCGAACGGAATCCAAACCAAAGTAGCAAAATATCCGAACGGGTATTGAGTTAGGAGAAATTGGATATCCAAACTCAAACAAATAATACCAGAGTTTGAATGGATATCAGAAGATAACCGAACATATGCATATATATATATACATATTTTATTTCTAGTTTATTTATCTCATTTTATTCAAAATATTTATATTAATGTTGTATATGGCTTAATATCATATAATATATATATATATATCTACTCTATTAAAATAGAATCATTTTTTTTTATCTACTGATACAAGTTGTCATTTAAATTTAGATTCTTTCTAGAGTGTTACAAATAATACAAGTCATATAGTTAATTGAACCACATTACTTAAATTAAACCGATGGTTATTTATAGGATATAGTGTTGGGCTTACTTTTTTTTAGAAGAAATTATATGGTTTGGTTTTTGGGCTTAGTATTAAGAAAAAACTCCAAAAAATATTGAATTAACTTTCCATCTTAATGGATAAAAAAATAAGTTATTATCTTCAAGCCCAAAGGGTATTTAATATTTTTAAACAAAACAAAATTGTCTATTATTAATCATTTATTTAAATCATGTACTTTAAAACATGTTAATATATTTTTTTATTTTAAATAACAATCACTTTGTTTTGATAAATTTCAATGGTAACTTTTAAATAATTTATTGTTTTATTTCTCTTAAATAATTTAATGATTTAAAAAAAATGTAAAGCAAAACCAAAAACCAAATCTAAAAACTAAATATTAAAACCAAAAACTGAAAAAACATGTTTTTTTTTTTTGCTTTTATTTATTTACAAAATAAACTATTGAAAATTTCTTTAAATTTTTTTTTGTCACATTTTCAGTTTTAAATTAGATGTTCGATTATTTGGGATTTGTTTGTTAGTAATATCAGTTCAAACTAACTCAGCGGGTCTAAAAATTAAAAACCCAAATCAAAAGCTGAAAATCAAAAATAGAAATTTAAAAACTAAAAACCAAAAATCAAAATCTAAAACAAAACCTATAAATAAAAACTGAAACTAAAAAATAATGAATAACAATCATCACCACAAATTTTGGTGAACTGATTTTATCCCAAAACATTTTTTAAATTAATACAAACCCCAATTATATAATTTTTTAATCATAAAAATTTTCCGCGCTTCAAAATCTAGTACTCATTTTAAATACAAGTTAAACTTTTTATTTCATTTTTAACAAAAGTTGCATCTAAAATTTATAAATAACAACTAGATTAGTGATTTTATATTTTCAAAAATTTATTTTCAAATTTATTAATCGTCTAGCATATTAAATTTTTTTTTTTAATAGTTAAATTAATAGTAAAATTTAAAATATATGAAATTTGAGCAATGAAGAATTTTAATTTTTTTTCAAAATCTAAATACCCGAAACTAACCGAAAATAACCAAACTCGAACTAAAAATATTTGAATCCGATCCGATATATAAAAATACCCGAAGGGTACTCAACTCCAATACTGAGATACCCTATCCGAACCTGAACGGGTACTCAAACATCCATTCCTATGTAGATTGAATCTAATGTAAGCTCAGGATTCTGAGCATGATGATTGGAGTGTTACACAGGCAGGAGACTGTGTCACACACAAGTGAGCTCAAGTTGAGTTGAGTGAGAAAAGGCTGAGGTGTTACACAACGTGGAGCGTGTGTTACACCAGGAGCGAAATACAAGGAGCCGTTCGGAAGATAATGACTCAAGATTCTAGGATATTTGTTGGGAAACAAACAAGAAGATATCGAGAGGATCTTTACTTATCACAATAGGATACGTAAGTATATATTGGTGATAGAGTTCATTAGCTAGGTTACGGCTTTGGGGATTATTGATTGCTATCGAGCTTAAGTGTTCAAAGCTGCGATTCTAAGTAAGCAAGTGGTGAGGTCTGTCTCGACCACTGTGCATTTGGGTAGATTAAGAATTGGTCCGTCTCAAGTCAAGTTGTGACGTTGAGTAAATCGGATTAAACAGATCTTGCAGGATTGTTTAAGTGATTCTTAATAAATCAAGTTGGTTTTCTTGGATTTGATTGTGTTATTCTTTTGTGGTGTCCATACGAAATTTCATTTGGTATCAGAGCGGGTTACCTCTGTGGACGAGTTCGTCTACTCACAGGTTGAGATCCGGGAACAATCATGGAAACCATGAAAGAACTGGTGGCTTTGCAAAAACCCATCATGCTTGACGAAGGAAACTTTGGACATTGGAAGGCAAGGATGCGGCACATCATACGGGCTATTGACGAGGATGCTTGGA